AAGATTAAAGCAAATCTGTCGAATAGCATGTTACACTTATAGGTATATAGACAGTGCAAGTAGCAAGGAAGACTCGTCACAGTCGTCGTCGACGCTTACTTCTGTTATGTGCTCAGCTATACAGCTATGGCCAACATTTTCACTTCTCTCTTCGTAAATGCACACTTAGTATACCGCTTTCACACATCTCTCAAACGTGCACCTATATGCACATTTTCACTAAAATCCATTCCTTTCTTTATAGGTATATACCCGTACCATGCTTCTTAAATAAAAAAAATGTGAGCCTGGTTCAGCCGCTTGGCTGCAACGGGGCAAATGAACTGGTGGAAGGAAGTGGGCACACTCAGTAGCATTGCAGTCAGCAATCTCTTTACTTATCTTTTATGCTGCCATATCAACTGAGAAAATTCTTCGCATGGTCTTAAACATCTGCAGACATTTGTGGTGAGGGTATTAGTGCATTATTTCAAATACTCTTTATTAAAGATTTAAAAAACTATAAGGAGCATGATGCTTTATATTAATTAAGTCAAATCTTTAAACTTAAACAAAAATCATGTTAAAATTGTTGATGACTAGAATCAAATGAAATTATAACATCTGAACATATTAACGACAATGAAACTCTAAATAATTGAGAAACAAATTTCAAGGGCTTATTTGTTAATCTGAATAGTGGTCAGAAGGAAATTTTTAATAAAATTATTAATAGTAATACAAACCTATATTTTATTGATGGTCCAAGAGGTTATGGAAAAACATGTTTGTATATAACATTAAATTTTATTTTTGTTAGAAAAAAAAGGTTACACATAAGGCTTGGACAGGAACTGCTTGAATCTAATTATCTAAAGAGATGATAAGTCATAGAGCTGTTACATCCCAAGTTGATATAGACAAATCGTATTATAAGTAAAAATGCAATTCATCTGTTTAATTAATACAAGACGTATTGTGTATATACGCAAGATTATATGACAAGTGGAGCTCATTCGTCATTTATACACATGTGTGTACTTGCTTTAAGGCAAATGTTTTACGATATGCTGACATATAATATGACCACCCTCGTTGTAAGAGTGCATGTATGTTTCGAAATTGTACGTTACATGTATAAATGCATTAATTGTATTCTATGTTTAAATAAATAGTTTATTTGTGTATTCATTGTCCATTTCTAATAATGTATTCCAATTTACAAGTTGTAAATTAACACATAATTTTAGTATATTCTTAACTGATTGTAAAATCAGCAAAAGAACGGATTGCAAAACTTGTAAACTTATTCGTCACACTTCAACTTGTATTTGGCGTTTCTTTTGTTGCTGATACAAGCTTTCATCATCACTGACCCAAAAAACTTCATAGCAATTTTCAGAAAAATGCGGTTGGTACTGTCGTGTTGTTATTTCCTCATACATTAACTCATAATATGAAAGCATCATCGTGCAAGCTTACTGTTTTGCTGTCAACGCAGTCTGCAAGAACATCACTCATTAGTTGAACTAATTCAACCAAAGGCTTTTTTTACTCACTCTGATGCTATAAAAACGCACCGTTAGAAGAAAAATGGTTCTTTTTACGTGTGTAATCTGTCCTCTAAAGTTTTAGTCTACTCTTGATTTCTACAACTCGCAAGTACCTTATATACGTACGTCATGACGTGTTGGCTGAGATAACTTGGGTGCATTTTGAGAACATCGATAGTATCAAACTACGCTAAGGAGCGAGGTACAATGAAGAAGGCCCTCTGAAAGTAGTTCTGGTGATGGCAGAGAAAGCAGCAACCACAACATCTTTTTGGCCACAATCATATTCGTGTAGTTTGAGGACCACTTAAAATTACTGCACGGAGCATTAGAGAACTCCAAAGCAGTAGAAACAACAATCAGTAATAGATGTAGGTTATTTATCGGTAATTCAATTAGAAGTGACCTAACTAAGTTCTATTTAAAATAATAAATCATTTAAAATGGTTTTAATAAAGGTATTCAATAACTAATATTATCCACATCATTTAAATAATGGTTTTCACTACACTTAAAAGAACAAACAAAGCTGACAAGTTAAATCCTAAGATACTCAGGAATGACACTAAAATACTACGGTTAAGACCTTACTCTAAGTAAGTCCAGTCGTAACAGAACATTTTGATTACCATTAAATTTAAATAACATTGAAAGTTGTTTTTTAGAATATGAAACTGATAGAAAATTGAAGACAAGTTCATAAAATTATTTGGGACGAAGCTTCAAAGATCTCTAAAAAAGCTTTCGAAATGGTGGATGAAGCTTAATAAGATTTATGTTATAATATTATTTTTTCCGATGAACAATTATTTATTTTAAGAGGCACTTCAAGACAAATACTTTCAGTTATATAGTATGTGTTTAAAAGTTTCATACTTAGTAAAACTATAAAGTATTCATTTGTATGAAAACACTTAAAAGTTATAAAATGGAAAAAAATGTTCCGTTTACGGATTTATAACTTTTATTATTGGTAATGGTCATTGAAAATAGAAATATAAAGTCTTTTGAAATTCCTCAGGAATGACGAACTAATAATGTTTGTAAAAAAATTAATGGGGATGGTATATAATGCTGACAAAAAAGTAATCCTAACAACTCATAACGAACTCTCGTATATTTTCAATCATAAAATTCTGAATTTTTTTTAAAGGGAAAGAATATACTTATTGCAGCATAAATTACATAAAATATAAAGGTAGTGATTGCACTGATAAAAACATAAACAGAAATTTTTCCATAGAAACTCTAAATAATATACATAAAGGATAATCGCCATACATTTTAAGTTAAAAAGGGGATTCTATTGTTATGTTGATAACAAACTTAAATAAATTCAATGGATTGTGCAATGGCACTAGACTTACTATAACAAAATTATTCAGATATAATTGAGAAGCAGAAATAATAACTAGTGAAAAATCTGGTTTTAAGGTTTTAATTTAAAAAGTAACGTTAACTAGCGGCAAAAATTTATCTAAACCGTTTATTATAATCAGAAAACAGTTTTTATTAGTTTAAGCATTTTTCATCACAGACAATAAATCGCAAGGTCAAAGTTTTTATATATTAGGATTTTTCTACAAAAAACCTCTGTTTTCTAATGTTCTCAACTGTACGTATTGGTATCAAGATGTAAAAATCAAGCAAACATTAAAAAAATTTATGGCAAGAAATTTCTGACCGTCAACAATTTTATTGTTTTTTTGTCAAGGTTTATTCCTTATAAATTTTTTTTTTTTCTAAGAAATTCAGTTCTTAAAACATACCAAATGCATCTTAAGAATTAAACTCTTAACAAAAGAAAATATATAAAAAAATTACTGATTTATTAGGACATTGTGCTTTTCAATTCTTATACGGAGGAAAAGAAATAGCAACGTTACAAAATTTTCCATTTATATTATAACTTTGATCTGTATTTCAAAAATCTTGTATTTTAGTGAAAAATTGATTTTACAAAATTAAAAAGTTGCCTTGACAATCTCAAACTAGACGGGAAATGTCGATAAATGTAATTACTTGCATTAATTTCACAAAATTAAAGAACACGACAGCCTTTAATTTTTTACTTAAAATTTTATCATTTGAAAAGTCGTTGTACTTTCTTAAGCACTTATTTTAAAATGAAAAAAATTGGATGTTTTTCTTTCCTATGCTAAATACCATATTGCTGCTATGTGATAATAATATTTAATATTGGTTAATATATATTTTGATTCATACTCTCATACAAATATGTTTACTTTTCTTTCACAAAAAAGCATTTACAACTAAATTTTTATTCATAAATGATACAAGCATTAGAGTCATATACCTACTTTATTGAGCTTAGGTCAAAGATAGCTTTAAAAATTGAAATGAGAACTTATCTAAACTTACGGTGCGAGTAAATGTACGGCTTTTTGGCAGTTCAAATGGTAGAGCAACTGTCTAGAAAATAGGAGGTTGCGTATTCAATAAACACCCGAGAAAGATATTTTTCTCATTCTTATTTATTTCTTGAAAAAATTTCTTGAATGACAGAAATTATGTAATTTAGTATTATGAATTTAAATTATATTGGATACGGAGAAAAGGGCATGCATGAAGGATATAGAGTGATTGTTTAAAAAGTGCCACCATCTATGCAAATGCACCTCTTGCTACAATGATTAAAGATTTTTTAACATTTACTTGTATACCTATTCGTCGCATGAAATTTCTTAATACTTTAATTCCAAGTAAATGTTGAATTTAAAATATAATAAAAAATAATATTATACACAACTGTACATAGGGTGCATGTTTTTAATATACTGAGATATTATTAATTTTACTAAGGAAAGTAGACAAAACTGAGTAACACTTGTAAGAACTTGATTAAATAACAAGTCCATTATTTTGTAAATATTAAGTTATTATATTTTTACAATTTAAGTAATTTTTGGGGGGTTGGTGATAAAAGCTTGCAAGAGGACAAAAACCTACTAAGATGTATATGATCAGTTCATATTCATAAGACTTGTTAAAATACTATTTAGAAACCGTATTATATAATGAGTATCCTCAAAGAAAGATAATCATAGCTTAAAAAACATGTAAGAATTTCCCATATCGTTACTTTAAGAGGCTCACTTTAAAAAACAAATAATGTTTTTTTGAAAGACTCCTTTTTAATCACAAAAGCTTTTTGAATACAACTAACAGTTAATATTCTTGTAAAAATAAAATTTGATACATGAATAGAATTTTGCATAATATTAGTGCCTTATTTTCATACCTAAAACTACACTGAAATATTGACTTCTTGTATCTTAGGAATTTAAACGAAAGTTTTTCAATTTATAACGATTACCTGCCAAAATAAAATTTTTTTCAGAGTATTTCAAAAGATATTTGAGTGTAAGTTCTTATGAAAAGTGAGATTAATTGACTATTTAATGTTCACTAATAAACTATGACATTCAAAAATTTTTTAATTTTCAGCTGTACCTCAAAAACTCAACTAGATATATAGCTTTTNTATATATATATATGTATTTCATGACTAAAATGAATAGAATTACGGCAAGAACTAGGATTGAAGCAGTCTGGATCTTACGGAAGGGAAATTTCAGTACAAATGTTGAGTACAAACCGATACGTAGCATTCTTGTAGCCAATCGAGGTAAGTTTTAATGCCTAATCTTAGAAACTACTATGATCTTATTTCATGTGATCCAACTGCCATTTTGCTAGTTTTAAATACCAGTAATTATGATTGTATCCTTAGGTTAATTTTTCATTATGTCATTCAACAGCATTTCTTATATTTTAATTTTTTTTATTAAGATCTCATTTTCAATTTCTTTCAGCCTGTTTTACACTTTCTGTTTCTGTCTACATGAATTTTTTTTATTTATATTTTCAAACGTCCAATTATAAACGACTGGTTAAAATGTTTATGTCGTTTTGTAATTATAAATAATATTAAGAAGTTTTAAACACGATTGTTCGAGTTTAATTTACATTTTTGAAAGTCATTATATGCTATGTTAGTATTTAAAAGATGAAAGTTTTCAGTTAAAAGTATTAATATTTACAAACTAAAAAATGATACGACCACATAAATAAGTGGAAATCAAGACTTTGTTAATAATTTTTATTAAAAAATTAGTTACGAAGTTGATAATTATTTTGCAAATTATTGAAATGCGGTACTACTTGCGTAAAAAAAAAAAATTAGCTTCATTTCAGTTGGTTTGTCAGATTCTAAAATTTACGCTTTTCTTCAAAAATGCAAGAAAATTGCCACATTATACTTACTTATAACTTCTACTCCTTGAAGTTCTTGGTCAGGATGAAATAAAAAATAAATTTTTATTTTATTCTTTTATGCAGATACAGCATAAACATATTTCATATAAATAACCCCTTTGAATCTGCATAACTAAAACTGGATGTACGACTAGGTGGCAGAAAGTTCTTAACGTGTAAGGAATTCAGTTGTTGTACATAAGTTGGACAGCAGGGTAAGTGGATTAGATGCGCAATATTCAAGTTTATAACCACATTCAATTATAATCATTCAACTATATACAGCTGAAGATCTTATAGTCTTACGTTTGTAGTCAATGGCCTACTTATTTTTATTTCTTATCGTAAGGGTTTTACGAAATTGGAAATTTCTTAATTTCTTATTGTCATCTCTATGCGTATCGTTAGATTACGTCTTTTATTAAGAATAATAAAACTTGAATTTTTCTTTCAGAATTTCTGAAAATAACTGTTATCTTCTTTATGAGTACAAACCAAAACGAACAAAGTACTTTGTATACTGATAAACAGTACTTACCATTTTTATTGCAAATACGTTAAGTTCATAAGAAATTCAATACAAACTATAAATACATAAATATCCACTTCAATTATAAGCTTCAAATTCTATTTTTTCTAAACATAACTGTGAAAAATATTGTTTATACTTGTATATGAAAGAAAACTATTTCTTCAATACTATTTGGATAACAAATAAACGACTGACTTGGAACACAAGTCAGAGTCTTGGACTCGAAGTCCCTGGTAAGAACGAAGCTCTCGCATGTATGTAGAAATCACATGTTTACTGTAAAATACAAGGTTCTTAAATATATGAGAGTTAAATATGATTTTTCCACAAATTTTCCACCTTGGTTTCATAAAAAAATATTAAACATAATGGTATTCAAGATAATATCTTCACATAACGCAACACCTCTCTTTTTGTGTGCCACGATATTTTTTTCCCCTTTAGAAAGCCTGTGAAAGTTTTTTTTTTCTACATCTAACTTCCTTTCAAAGATATAGCACATTTTTAATATTTGAAGGGTATGTGCACGCATGGCCACGCAAAATTATTTCTGCGTTATTTCTTATCCTGTACTTAACGTAATATAATTTTTCCCATGATTTTACTTCTTTTTTTATGAAGATACACCGACAACATCCAAAATGGAGGTTATGTTTTTTATAACTCAACGCCTCTATTTTTGTGCGTCACGATATTTTGTTCTCTTTAGAAAACCCATAAAACTTGCTATTTTTGCTCTATCTTGTTTCCTGTAAAAGATATAGTGTAGTTTGTAATATTTGGATGTCATGCCATATTATAAATACCCATTTAACCAATACTGTCTATCTGCATCGGTCTGCCATACATGAAAAAATTATTTGTTAATGAACTTTATAAAAATAACAATATTAACTAGTGTATATGGTATTAATATTATTTATTTTTACTAATTTTATCCCAGCAAAAATGGGAGTGCATGCTGTTTTCGTATACTTTCTGGCCGACGGGTTTCCGTTCTGAACCGTTCTTATACGCAAGAAATATACATGGAGTATATATCCCATCGTAACCCTTGATGAAGAACTTTGTTCTAAAAAAATGAATTAAATAAGGGTTCTTTAATAACATTTGAGGTATAGGATGGGTATCCAGAGCAAATACTTACAAAAGAGTGTTAATTTATTAAACTCTATTTATTTAGTACAAAAAAATGCGGCCTTTCTACAGTGCCACTCTATATGTTCTTTATGCTGATGTATGTGTATAGCACGGGTCCTGCAGAACTGACTTAGCTGAAGTGTGCATCTCACCATGGGCCCGCGCAACAGTCGTACGCAACAGTAGAGGAAGAGGGGAAGGGAGAACCATCTACGGAGTACTGGCAGCGTTTATGGCAATGCTATTTAGCCCGACACTCTCTCCCTTTGACACTCTATCAGTTTTGTTCGTCTAGTTTCCTCCACCTGTCAACACAATGTTATTAAATATTAGTACTTTTCTTTTGATACATATCTCTAAATTAACTGTATAACTCAATTGATTTAATCTAAATTTATAATTTTGTCTCTAAGTGCTTTATGTGCCTCATAATATTAGCAACATTTTTTTTCGTGTGTATCCAAAGGACTTTCACCTTTCCTTGATCCACACATTACTTTATATAGTCTTCATGCATTACTGTCATACGTACTCGAACTCCTAATTTTTCTATCTTCAGTAGGTTGTTCGTTATTTTCTCTAAGTCCTCGTCGAAAGCCTTAAGTTTAGGACAACTGTTCATCAGAGTATACTTGATAACCGACATACGGTAACACAAAATTGTAACAGGCAGAAGGGTTCTTCGTAACATGTATCTTATTGACTTGCCTCATTTTGTAGCCTTCCGTAAAGGTAGAGTCTTTGCAATCTCCAAAACTTGCGTCTGCCAACGCTCCAAGTATTTCAGCTCTGCTTAAAAAAATTATGCTGATACTTGGACTTCCTTCTAAATACCTGACAATTCTCTTTGCCTCCTCTTAGCCAATTTTCTTCTGATGGATTTAGTTGACTTTGGGATAAATAGTTACTGCAAAAGCTATGTCTGGTCGTGTAACATTTTACCCTTACTTACCCTTACTTTTTCATATTAAATAACTCTAAGATATTCTCTATGTAGACACTTTGATGCAATATTAGTGTTTTATTAGTTCTATAACTCTCAATACTCATGCCAAAAAAAACTTAAGGTTTTGTTATTCCTTTTTTGCTCCGGAAAAACCAATATGATTTATAAATATCATTCACAAAGCCTAACTTTAGCATCCCTGCACTAAATATTTTGTTATATCTTTTTAGACTTATTATAAATACATAAAGACCTTTGATTTGGAAACTTTGCTGAATTTTGTGTTTTTGTTTACCTCTAAGCCGTCTAAGATCTTTATATATACTTCTTCTTTAATTTCTCCGTTAGAAAAAGCAGTATTAACGTCCATTTGAATAACAACTAAGTCGTATTCTTTCACAACTGCTAGAACTGTTCTAATCACATCCAGTCCAGAGACTGGAGAGTACTTTTTTCAGATCTTATTTATTCTTATCTTTAAATCCTTTAATAAAAAGCCTTTATTTAAATTTTGTTGATCTACCGTTTTCTATTTTTCTCTTATTATGTTACTTAGAGTATACATGCTTTACAACATTAGCTACTATTGTCTGCTCTTGAGTTCCATGCCTTCTTTTAGATTAACTTCCCGTTACTATACTTATATTTTTTTTTAGAAGCTCTATATTCCACTTCGTGATCTTTATTTCTTCTAGTTTTTGCATTCTTGGTCTTCTTCTTTCCTTTATTTTTCCAACTGGGTTTGTCTTTCTGTTTTTTTCTTCCTGCTCTACCAAATTTTTTAACGAGTTCAAGTCGATTTTTTCGATCTGATTTTGTTTTTCTCTGTACACATCTTTATATACTATTTTCTCATTAAACTTTTTATGTCTAGACTCTAGAAATTTTCTAGAACTTGGATGCCAGAGAACATACGACGTTGATTAATATCTTACTAAATCAGTTTTAATTGCTCTTGCTCCGAATTTTGTAGTTGGTTTAAGTAGTTTTACATATGCTATACATCCAAAGCTCTTTATTTAATTGAAATAAATTCTTACTTCTTGGGAAAATTTTCTCAGTGCTATTTTAAACTCTATTCCTTTATGTGGTAATCTGTTATATGCATGCCCAGCAGCTTCTACGGTTACCTACCACATTTTTTTGGGTAGGTTGTGACGCGGCAAATAGGATATACATCCAAACACGTCACGGAATCCTTGTCACCGACAATAAATGGTGAGAGTCTCATAGGTAGCTATTTCTCTCCTCCTGCATGTGGCTTGCTGTAGCGTACGAAATTCCAGTATCAGGCCCGTTTGCCGTAGTATTAAGAGCAACTATAGAGCTTGGTCTGACTCTCCTTCCGTTCGCCCTGTACCCGTACCTTGGGGATGTGTGTGTGCATTACTAAAGGAATGAATCTGTGAATGGCAGCCATCAGTGTGTTAGTCTTCCGGGAGCAGGAATGTAGTAGGGGTGGCCTATGTGTGGTGCTCTGTTGGCTGATAGTGTGTGCTGGGCCGCATAGCAGACGGTGCGCCTGCGTGGCGAGACAAGGACAGACATTTGAGCTCGTTGCGAAGCTAGCACCAGAGCAGCACGGCACGGCATCAGCAGACTCTTGCCTGCCGAATTGCCGTAACTTTGCCAAGCCAAAACCTCAGTGCCACACACACACATGAGCCAGCCCTTACACGGTCACTCAGGTTCCCCAGTGCCCTCGACGCTTGTAGCATCGCCAGGAGCATCACAAAGTACTCCACTGGAGTAG